CATTATTTTTTCCATTCGGTTGTCCCACATCTTCCCTTGGTTTTCCTTTAAAGAGCATGAAGACTATTGATATAAAAACAAATGGATTGATAGAGGAGACAAAGAGGCAGAGAAAACTGACGATCAAATCTGAAAGAAGATACAAAGAGAAAAAGATTGCTGGATCAGAAAGAAAGATAAGACGATAACGAGGAAGAAATAGAGAATAAAAAGGAGAAATAAGTAGAAAGAAAGTAGAAAAAGAGAGAAAGCAATAGAAAAAAAAGAGAGAAAATGAGGGGAAAAGTGCATGAGGGAAAAGGAGAAAAAGTAAAAAAAGTATGAAGAAGAGAATGAAAAGGAGAGATAAAGGAGAATAAGCGAAAAAGAAAAAAAAGAAACAGAGAGGAAAGGAGAAAAGAAAGCAATGAGAAAGAAAAGGTGAGAGCTACGAAGAGCAACTGAGAGTTCGAGAAGAGAGAGCGAGAAGCAGAGCGAGAAAAAGAGAGAGAGAAATACAGAGTAGTAGAGGCTGGGCAAGGGAGAGAGAAAGAGAGGTGGCACGCGCAATGCGGGTATTGATTCACGGTGGCGGCAGCCGGCAGCCAGCCTGAAACACACGACCGTACCGAGTCGACTCGACTCCGCGACTCGATTCACCGTCGAGACAAGGAGAGAAAAAGAGAATCACAAGCCAGCAAGGAGAGAGAGAGAGAGAGAGAGAGAGAGAGAGAGAGAGAGAGAGAGAGAGAGAAGAGACCACGTTGTCGAGTCGATCGGTTTTACTTCACGAATGGTTCATCGTTAGAACCATTCCGAATATCTTTAAGGAATCCACTGTCGATTCCAGTATCGAGAGCTCGCACGACCCGAACGTACAGAATCTCCTTAAGAAACATCTTTACCTCAGTTTTTTCAATATATATTGATATTAAGAAGATACATTGTATATAAATAAATTTGTTACAAGTTTATCAAAATATCCTCACAAAAATGTTATTATAGCAATTTTGTGAGAAATATATGATAAGATTAGCACATATTGCCTGGAGCTTAACTTCGCTCTAAATCTAAATCCTTCGATGTTTAAAAAACTAACGAGAAAGTAACATTGCAATTTAGCAGACATAATATATGTCAACGAAAATTTATAGCATAAATTGTTTCCATTTATTTCCATCTTAATTTTATAGGGTAACATTCTTTAAGAAAGAAAATTCTCACAGTAGATTCCCTCAAGCGTATATTCACATCTGGAAAACAGTCCCTATATGCTACTGCAGGCGCATAATTACGCGAACTGTAGCGGTGCAAAAATCGAGAAAAGTAGCGTGTTTGAAAGCGCATGGGAGTAGATCCGGTTTCAGGGTTAGGACCGATCAGGGTTAGATGGTATCGGCCGGGGCTCTTGCATGCGCTTAACATGGCCGGGGATACCCCGGCAATGCGTAGGATTGGACCGCCGCGCCGCTCCCACGAGCCATGCGAGCACTAATAAACGTATGCTCGGCTTGGTACAGTATAAAATATGCTTGATGTAGATATAGATATAACGTAAGAAAATATTTGTAATATACACACAAAGGGTAGAAACGCTGCTGTACGCTATTCAATATCCTGAAAACATCGTTTTGTTTTAAGATTTTCTTTTTTTAATTTTTAAATATATTATTCTAAAATTTAGAATTAAAAGAGTATTGGAAAAAGATTTTTATCATGTCCATGTAAACGATTTTTTATGTTAGATAAAAAATTAAAGCTGTTTTCTGCAGTACGAAGAAAAAATTCAATTTTGTTGTTCTTAATAATAAGATTTAATATTAAATGAAGTTTGGCACTTTTGAATAATTTACAATTTATAAAGTTTCTAATGGGACTTTGCTGCTATAAATTAAAGTTTCATTGAAATTTGTACTGATATTTCTGATGATTCACGAAAGACAAGATTTTGACAAAGTTTGCTTTCTAAACTTTTATATATAAAACGAAATAAATACTAAACAAATAGATAAATATATTGCATTCCTTATTTTTTTTAATAGTAAATCTAATTTAAATATATATATATATATATGGTATATATTATATTTTATTACATTTAACTTTTATATTCTTTTGAAGCATTGAAAAACTATGAATTGTATACTAATAAAATTTATATTACCCAAAAATAAAAACATTTACATACTCGCATGCAATCTAAAATATTTTCCTTTTTAGACCAATAATGTCCATAATGCGACCGGACGTCGCATTCGAAGCAGCATCGAATTCGCGTTCATTAATAAAATCCGTTCGGGATATCAATCCACTGACGAAGACAACGTGGAATCGAGCGTGATAAATAAAGGAGGGTGCTCGGATCGGCGCAGCGGCGCGGCGCTGGGATAGATACGTCCCTTAATAGCAAAGGTCGAAAACCTTGTCGAGTTGACTCGCGGGATAGCGCGCAGACCTACTTCCACGTAACGTCGATTCCTTTTATTGATTCTATTTTTGCGAGAAGCGGAGAGAAAGAAAGTGAGGGAGAGAATAAGAGAGATAGAACGCTCACCACGATCACCGGTCATATCGCGATTCCGTGCATTACCGATTCGGTCATCCATCGAAAAATGATAACACCCAAAATTGGGACGTTATCCAGATTACCCGGATGTGCTACACGAAACGTTAATAATAAAATACTCATTTTGAAAATGGAACGGTTATTTTTACACGATATTGCCTACAAAATACAAAAAATGGACGTCATTATTAATTAATCGAGAATCGATATTCGGTAATCCATTTCCACAACAGGAATATTATATCTACTATAGTCAAGTGGTTGATACGATAATGCTTCCGGCAATTACGTATATCATTTTTCTAATGGAATATCATCTTAGGAAACAATACTAGTAAATATCACAAGCGATATTGGACTACAATATCGCAAGAAAGATGGAGAACGATGCAAACGCCATTAAGCACCGATTATAATTAATATTAAATAATTACGACTTTGGATAAAAGAGATAATCTGTCAAAATAAAATTGCTGTAAATTTTTTATAATAAATCAAATTAGGATTTGGTATTCATAAGAGCCTGTAAAAAGATCGATGTGCTCGTTTCGGAAATAGAAGACATTCGTCGATTTGAAAAGTGCTTTAAGAAGAAAACGCGGGGAAAGTGCAAAATAATCGGTCGCGGAAACGATCGGTGGACAGAGAAAGAGATCGTAATTAGATTCGCGCTGGTGAACGGCCGACGACGGCGCGCATTGCTGGAAATAGAAAGTAACGACCGAATAATCGAAGGCTACAATCGATAGCCTGTAAAGTCGGACGGACTAGCGACACGAGAGGTGTACAGACACCTCGCTACATTAGACTTTAATTCGGCCGCAGTAGTGCATGACCCGGTATGGTCAGACGCAGCCCTCGTCTGGCACCATCTCCGCGACGCGATTGAAGGCTCAGATTATCATTGGAGGATAATTTAGTGGATAAATTGGCCGGTTTCTCGTAAAAAAAGACGAGTAAAAAGCATGAGCACCTGCTTATGTAGATTATGTCGACTAATATATATTTCTTGTATTTTCTTCATTTTCCTACTTTTTACATAAGAAAATAATTATCTAGCGAGTTAGCAGAATTTTATTATATTTGATATTATATTATTTTTATTATATTAGATTAATGAAAGAGATGCAATTTTCGACAAATGCAAAAATACTAAAAACTAGTGTTTTAAAAAGAAGCAAATAAACTTCAAATGTCGCTTTCTATGTAACATATAGACATTATAATAATAATTCTACAGTTGATAATTTGAATCGTTTAGATAGTAGTTATCCATTAAGTGAAATATCAAAGAAAGAGCCCTGTGCTTGCCGACGCTTATTTAATATATATAGGGGTAGGAAATATTACCGACGGGGGTAGCTCGATTGAAACGTACCTATCGACAATGTCTGCTTTATCAGAGAGTTTATACCGTTTGCTGCCCTTATCAACGTTATAGTCGACTCTTGCCGACATTACGTTGAAGGGTAAAAAGGGTTAAAACAATGTCGGTAAAACAGATTGTGTGCAAATAGCATAAAATCTAACTTTCAAGTGATAAGAGATATGTTGTACCCATTGATATTTCTTGATATACATATATTCGTATTACCTCTCTTTAAAAAAAGCACAGTAAAACGCGATTGCTAATGCTATTAATCATCACTTATATAAATCTTAAAGACCTACACGTATATTTTATTTATTACTTTTATAATGAGGACATAATAACTAAAGCGAGATTGCAACACTTGTCGCGATAGTCAATTAGAAATGTTTAATAGTGTATCATTGATACTTCTGATTTATTATCTCAACAAACGTTGTGAACTACATTTTACTTATGTGGAATAACTTTAAAACATCTTAAAGACGATATTAAAACGTCTTTTAAACATCATATTATACGTCTTAAAGATGTTTTTAATCACTAAAACAGCTTATGTTTTTAGTTTATAGTGTTTATAAATGTATGCTATTTAGGGAGCTATTGATAAAAGAGATTTCTTGATATAAATAAAAAAATATATTTAATATTGAAGAATTCTAAAATTTAAAATTCTAATAATTTTTAAGCAAAAAAGTCTCAACAAAAATTTCTTAAAAAGTTTTTAGTTTCACGTGGACGATAAAATTAATAAGTATCGGTCTATATTTAATCTGTTAACTATTAAATATTTTATTAAAACTATCGATAAATAACATAAGATTGAATTACGAATAAGTATATTGCCCGAAATCATATTACCCGAAAGCATTTCTGTAACATATGTTAATTATCATCAAATACGATGCTATAAATTAATAAGAAGATTCTTATTAATTCTTTATTCAAAATTTCATTTTTCTTTTTATAGATTTCCAAGAATTTCCGCATAGATTTCCTGAATGTCTTCACGTGTTGGTAACTGTTCACACATTAATTAAAAGAAAACTTTAAGTAAGAAAACAGAGAGGGAGAACGATCACTCACATAATATCACCAAGCTTGAGCCGCGTTTGTATAAGGGCGCAGCTCTTGTGATCGCTAGTGGTGACAGCCCTCCGTCTCCTAGCGGCATATCGGGGCATCGCATCCAACTGCGTCGCGTTTCCATCGGTGTTTCCGAGACCACCGCTGGTCCCGGATGTGGCACCATACCCGATGAGGCCCACACTTCCACGCACAAGCGGATTGCTGCCACGCCGACGCGTAGACACGTGCCGACCTCCCACGCCACCCAGCATCCTAAAAAATATATAAACTAATTAAATCCACAGATAAACACATTATATATAATTATAAGATAAAAACCTATAAAGAATCAAAATATTTCTTTCCTGTAATTGCAGCTTGAATTCCGAAGCGCGTGAGAAATTATAATCCCTAATTTAAAGATTAATACCATTAATTTAAAGATTAGTACCATTAATAGAATTCTTAATTATTATTCTATGCCTCCATCGTGCTAGCATTCTGTTTCAAAATTCTTTTGTTTTCAGAATTTATACAATTTAATAAAGTTTTGGTTCTTCCCCAAAGAGTTCTAGAGTTCTTGACATTTTTTTTTCAAAGACACTATCACTTTATTTCCATATAATTAGTGCAAGGTCTTTCAGAAAAAATTTTGACCGATTAAAATGTAAGAAATTAAATATCGATAATTTACAAAATATCTTTTTGAAAATTTGATAAAAAATTATTTAGAAAGTGCCTATAGATTCTTTATTTTACGCTTAATCATTGTAACTTTTTTATTTCAAACTTGATTTCTACAAAAAAAGCTATCAAAAGATACTAAAAATCAAATCAATCCTGAGTGAAATAAATCCTGTTATGACTAATCCTCATGCAATAAAAACGTAAAATGGATATTCTGTATCTTCGGATTCCTATTTTTTACAGTCAAGCTCTTTCAAAAAAAGATAGAACGTTATCATAATTATTTTATACAGTGATGTGTCAGAAACGATATCGCAGAAAAAATAAGATAGAAAGAATGACGAATACATTGTAGCATTCCTGACTACAAATTATTATATTTTTATCTGATTTCAGTTTCGAAATTAGGGTCGGTCATTAATCAAGACATGATACTTTACATCAGATTTAAATCAGATGGTACGCATAAATCACATAACGATAAATTGTCCTGGAGTCGCCTCTCCGTATTAAAAAAAAAATTTACAGAGGTAGACTAATGAGGCATGGAAAAAATTCAACGGAGCATTCTTTCGTTAATTAGGTTACGTTGACTAGCTTAATCCTAATCTCTGCTAGCGCATCAGTGACGGCCAGTAGTCACGCGATCGAGCACTTGTGCCCGTCTATTTTCTGGCACACATGCCGTAGTCATTAATAGCCCTTTTTCCCTTTAACGTATCAGTGATGCCTAACTAATTTTCGTCGGATCGATGGCAAAAAGTCGGTCGTATTGAATACGAAGAGGAAAAAAAAAAGAAATCGTTGTTTTCGACGTGACGGTACAAGTCGATATGAATTTATGCTATTCGTACGTTACACACCGTCTCTCGGTAACGTGAAATATTCTATTAATTACCCACACCCGTATCTTGCATACCTATTGGCTCCCTCATGGCTTTTCAAACGTCATGAGCGTGGATCTCCTTTCCATTTCTACCTTTTCTCTTCATTTCCTGAAAGCGTCTGTCGTGCGCGTTGAAATGATGGAAAATAAAGCGCCACTGCTATCTAGATATTGCAAAATCCGATTAATCATCGTCCGAATGCGAGTTCACTACTCTCAGCGAACCGGAAATGCACAGAATTCACGAATATCTACCGTGTGAATAGAAACGCATCAGAAAAGATGTCAAAGTAATACTTTCGCGGCAATCAGTACCTCGATACATAAAAGAGTCCGCAAAATATGAAAAAAAAACTGCAGCAAAATGCTATTTTTTTGCAAGTAATACTTCGATGGATATTTTAATAAATATGAGAGACGCTCCCCTTATATACGTTTGTCCTTCATAAATGTTATAGTATATAGAGTTTGCGGAATTTTATATCAATATCAAATTGGTACTTTAAGGGACGATTATAGTAATAAACGATACTCGATAAAATCAGCCGTAATGAAAACGCGGAATATGAATGAATTGTGTTATAAATATTTTAAAGTAGATTTTGATTACAGAAAATATTTTAAAGTAGATTTTGATTACAGAAAAAGTACTGTAAATCATCCGTGTTACATGATCGTTATTGTTTCTAACAGTATCAAATTTAAAACTTTATTACGGCGAAGTTTGTCAAAGTTTCACACCAAGCGTATTACGCTAAGCTGACGCACGTAGGGTCGATGTATATATAAGTACATATTCATGGATATGGGAGCATATTGAGTATACAGTTTAATATTGCGTGTTCTCCAAATGACGCTACAACTCAAAAGACTTAGCTACAAAATTCTAATTTCATGGAATGTCACAGAATTTTGCGTCGAGATAGATATCGAGATTAAGTAATATTTTAGCAGGCGCGCGTTAAATTAAATTCTCATTAAAATCTTGTTTGATATATATAAAGAAAGGAGAGTTTCAATACTTCGACAAAATAGAGATTTGTGAACGCAACGATCTCCACAAAACATTCCTACTAAAAGATTAGAGAATCAATAAGAATTAATTATTTACTGATTTTAATATATTATTCAACATTATTAAGATCGTTTCTAAAATGCGAATAAGTATAAAAAATTTGTTAAATTGCTAGTCAATTTAACTCGTGATATTACTGCGGTAATTTAGTAGAGTTAGCGTTTTCAAGACCGAAAAGTCATTTCGGCGCGCGTTTCTGGGGACTACATACGTAATATATAAATTCACACAAGAATCATACAAGCATTTAAGATCCAGCTATAGACCGTTTAAGGCTTTGATTTCTATAGTTTGTGTTATCACGCATATACGGTCCTATAATATATTATATTACCTACTAAAAAGAGTTGTTATTAGAAAATTTATGACTCAAAGATATTTTATATTTTACACCGGGCCTGTAATACTCTCTTTTCATATGAAATGCGCTCCCCGCATTAAAACCACAACTTTCCGTCAATATCAATTTCTCACGGATTGAATCTCTGACGCCAGATATTCGTGGCGTCGACAATTCGCAGGCGTTAACACGCGTCAGTTCTCACATGGTTATTTGCGCGCACGAATTATTATCCGGTCCGGCTTTATCGAATGAACAAAACAGAATTACAATCCATTATGGGCACACCCACGCGCACTATGCGCATCTCAACACGTCGCAACGCAACGTTGAAATTTCACGCGAACGTTAGTGTTGTCATATTATCGTTCGTGTTCAAAAGTAATCAATTTACAAGTTTTTATACTAATTCTCCCTTTTTCTCTTCTCTATTTCTCTTTCAAGCTTACAGTACATCCCATTTGTGGGCTTTTATTTCATCCTTCTACTGAATCATCTTCATCTATACATCAGCCATTCATTCGTCTATTCTCCACATAAATGGAATAAAAGTCGATACGAAGTCAAGAATAGGTCTGTTGTGTTATCCTATTTTCTCTTGTTGTTACATAATACATCGAGAATAACGTGCATTGACAATACAATCGTATCTCTCAATAAAAATTTATGAATTAAAAACAGTTTATATATTTATATACAATTACAGAGTGGAAAATATATATCATTTATATAATTTTCCACAAAGTTAGATTTGATTAAAGTTTTCTGCTCACAAAAGATATCCATTTCAAGTACAATTTTATTTTATTATTCATAACATTATTTATGTAAACTATTACTATTAAACTGTCATTATTCATTTATTGATACTCGATCATTTACGTAAAATACTACTGTATTATATCAATTGTATTATATTATTCATTTCGTCTATTTTTATATAAGTTTAACAAGATCTAGAAAATGAGTTTCGCAATCGCATAAACATAGGCTTGTCCATTCTCTTCCTTCTCTTCCACGTCCTATAACACCATTCACGAGAGCTTTCGAGGCGGATAATGAGAAATCGAAGGCAAAGCGCGCGAGGGTGTATATCGACGCGCTTACATAAACATTTAGGGAAACATAGTATACGTGTACAGGTTGTAGTAGCTAGTCTTCCCACACGCGGCGCCGATCGAAATTTTAGGATAGCAACCTGTTGCTAGGCACCCCGGGGAACTCTTATCCCACCCTTGCTGTGTTACCCGGCAACAGCTGCCCTCTCTTTCTTTTTCTCTCCCTCCTTCTTCTAATGCTTTTAACCTCCCTCCCCTCCCCTCCCCTCCCC